ACTGATGGTAAACCTCCCTTTAAGAGTCTGGATTTATCTAAGGAACTTAGAGTCTGGCTCAAAATCATTCTGGGTTGCATCTACCATAGACCTGCTTCTAGTTCATCTGAATTCATCAATACTAATAAAAAAATACATGTTATATTATCTGATGAAAGGTGAAAAGATTTGTCTTCCTTCCATTTTATTCAGATATCTCAGATATTCCATAAAGGAAACCATAAATGATTCAAAAAAGCCTAAAAACTACATTTCTCTTGGAAGACTAATCTCAAATATTCCTATTGAAAGTGGAATGGTTGATCATCTGGCTACCTTGAATTTAAAAGAAGAGCTTGAAATTATAACTAGAACACCTCTAAATGGAAAAAATATGAAAAGGATGCAGATTATCAATGAAATCAGAGTTGAACTAAATATGGCTACAGACTGAGAAAGTTTGAAGTCCAGAAGAATGATTATCGACGATTTTTCTCTATTCACTCAGCTTGATGATCCAGAGGCTATAATGCAATACATAAAGATGCGAGAAGCGAAAGTATATGATCTATCTAGATTCAGGATTGATGATCTACCAGAAAATCCCCCTGATCTAATGAAGAAGAAAATACCCCACAACAAAGCTCCTCAAGATAAGATTGCAAAGAAGCAGAAAAGTTTGGGCAAAACCAGCGCAAAGAATATTTCACTAGTATCTTCTGATTCCTTTGTAACTACATTTGTTATTACTAACGGGAATATATCTTCACCTCTTCCAACACCGCATCTACTATTTTCATCACCACCAACTTTACAATTGTCACCACCTTACCCATCTCTATTTCTAAAACACACACTCAAATGATTCCACCCTCTACACAATTTCCACCACAAATACTACAAATCACTTCAACTCAACCAATTTCCACTATTTCTGAACCAACCCCTGTCATATTTGTACAACCATCTCCTCACCATTAACCTCTCAACAGTTAATCCTAGAAACCATTCCAGAACATCCTGAACCTTCTTCATCAAAATCAAATCTTGAAAATAATAATATCACTAACTTGGGCTATTCTGCTGAAGAAACCCAATCATATTTTTGAGAATCAACCTTCTGACTCTTTCCCTCCTAACCTATATGAAGTTATTTATGCTTTTAAGGATAGTGTAGTTATGAGATTCAAGACACTCTCTGATGAGTCAAGTTCTAGTGAAGACCCTTCTGCTTTGGGTGCTCCCTGGGATCAATTTAATAAGTGGATGTTAGACAGATTTCAGAAGATTCAAAATCTCTCCGTTCAGGCAAAAGATTATCTTGTTCAGCAAGCTGAAAAGAGATTGATAGCTAAGAAGGAAGCTGGAGCAAAGCTAGCTGCTGAAAGAGAAGCTGAGAGGTTAGCTAAGGAAGCTCAAGATCAAGCTAAAAAAGAAGTTGTTGAAAACTCTACCTCTGATCTAGTGTTAAGGACTCTGGCAAGTATTCAAAAGGAGCAAGAGGTGTTCAGAACGAGAATGAACAAGCAAGACGAACTCACTCACAACATTCAGAATGCACTTGCTCAGATCCTTCAGACGCTTGCTCCTCCTCCTCCTCTTCCTTAACCTTAGACACTCCTTAGACCACCCGTTAGTTTCCTTTGTGTTTATATTTTTGTTATCTTATACCTTTTTGATTATGACAAAAAGGGGGAGTACATTAATGAAAAGTTATTTTGATAAGAATATCTTGTCTCTTAATCATAGCTCTGACATTCTAACTCTTTAATTGCACACAATTCTTTTTCCTAGAATGTTTTTCAGGAACAAATTGATATATTGATAACCAGGCACTGATTTAACCAATCATTATCACTATTTGATGCATATGATAAGAACCAGACTTGAACCATCTCAGATCTTATAAGTCAAATCAGGCTCTGATATATAATCAAGCATTGTTATTCTGAATCTGATAAGAACTTTATAATCAGGCTCTAGTATCCCAAATCTGATAAGATTTTTAGGTCTTAGATTCAGGGGGAGCTTTGATAAAGGGAATTTATTTCTAAACTTATCTCTACCATTTCCTATTGATTATCTTCGTACAAAATTGTGTCATCAAAATACATGATTTTGTCATTATCAAAAAGAGGGAGATTGTTAGAACAAGATCTGGTTCTGCAAGATATCTCTAAGTTTTGATAATAACAAAGTAGTATTTGTGTGAAAACAATTTTGGTACTATAACGTTTGTTTTTCTGAAAAATTAACAAACAGGTTCTAACTCTGATAGAGAAAGCTCTGACTCTGATAGCGACCATATTCAACATTACTCTAATCTGAGCAAAGTCGCTTATGCGCTATCAGAAGCAAGTCTGCTTCTGATATACTCTCACTCAAAAAGATTCTAAGAAGACAATATGTTACTGTTGCAATGCTCTCTTGGTTTCTGCCTCTGATCATGACTCTGATACTTTACTTTTGAAGGCTTTCTAGCTTTTGAAGTTATTATCTTCTGAAAACTAAGTGCTGAAGACTCTGAAGACAAGTTTCTGTTGAACGAAGTTCTAAAGACTCTGATGACTTGAATTTCTGAAGAATAAGTGTTGAAGACTCTGAAGACAAAGTTCTGCTGAACGATGTTCTAAAGACTATGAAGACTTAAGTTACTAATGACCAAGGGTTATGAAGACTAAGTGCTTAAAGTTATGAAGATAAGGTTCTGGTGAATAAGTTCTGAAGACTCTGAAGACTCAAGAATCTGAAGACTCAAGACTCTGAAGACCTAGTGATCAACTCTTCTACTCATGCTTCAATTATCTCTATTCAAAAGCCTCTGATGTAAAGAAGATAAGCTCAATCATTTACTAGGGAAAATAGTACATAATACGTTTCAACGTTTCATTCCACTACCCTGATTTGGTGGTACAAAGGACAACTTTTGTGTACGATTTTCATCCTTGGGTAACGACATTATTCCAAGTCGCCGGCTATCTAAAGGATATTCCTGATCTTCCCTCCAACGAATCTTTTTCTAGCTATATAAGGACTTGATTACTTGAAGAAATTAAGAAGCTTCACAACGTTTAATACAAAGGTTACACTTTGATTGAAAATGATATATGAAGAACTAAAACTATAGTATTGAAGTACCACAATAAAAAGAAAGAACATTGTTTATACTGTAATAATGTCTTTAGTGATTTTAGCTATTAATAGTGTTTATATCTGCTTATGTAGAAGCAGTTTCATTGTAAGCATCCTTGTTCAAATTGTTGTTTGTAACTCTTTAAGGGACCAGTTAGGTCAGAATCCTTAAGAGAAGACAATTAGTCTTTGTTGTTAGTCATCAGCGGTTGCTAGTGCAGATTGTAATTTCTTAAGGGACCAGTTAGGTCAGAATCCTTAAGAAGAGACGATTAGTCTTTGTTGTTAATCACTAGCGGTTGCTAGTGCAGATTGTAATTTCTTAAGGGACGAGCTGAGTCAGAATCCTTAAGAAGAGACAGTTAGTCTTTATTGTTAGTCACCAGTGGTTACTAGTGCAGTGTAATTTATTAATTATAGTGGATTAAGTCTTTGTGTATAAGGAGAAATCACGTTGGCGGGTGGACTGGATTAGCATGATTGTTTTCAAGTGAATCAGGATATATTATGTGTCTTTCTCTCTTGTTAGTCTATTTGTGATCTTTGTTTAAGTTTCAAAAAAAGCTTTCATTTTTGAAAACTCAATTCAAACCCCCAATTTTTTGTGTTTTCTCACACCTTCAGATAACCTCATGGTTTTCGTAAACCTAAATGGTGAGCTCTATGCAAGGTTGTCAAAGATGGCACACATTATTCGTAGTAGACTTGAGTAGATTTATTAGTTATTTTATTTTTTTTGTTGTTCTTGGCATTATTTTGGTTTTGTAATGAATAATTTGTATATTATTGACATTTTAACCTAACATTTCATTAGATGAAAATTAACATTATAGTACTGCATGATGAACATAACTTAACACAGTCATTGTTTAACATAATTTAACTAGAAAAATAACATGCACAAAATTTAAACAGTACTAATCTTCATCGATCTTCAACTTAAAGTGTTGAACTTCACATTTCCTTCATTATTAATTGATGGTAAATTATACTCAAACTTAATCACATTTCTGTTGTCGGTGTGGTACTAGAGATTATCCAGTTTGGGTTTTAGAACAGCTATGGGTGTGTCCTCTGTTAACCTAAAATCAACCGGAGGTTTCATGTCATTAAAGTGCACAATTGCAAGATATTAAAATTAAGACATTGTAAAGTGTGCATATTTATATTACAATTTTAAATCATTAAAGACCACACAAAATTGGCGATACAATCACAAAATTGTCAATGCAATCACAAAAGTGTCGACAACTATTAAATATTAACACTACCAAAATTTTGAAACTAACCAGATTTTTTTCCAGAACGTTAATGAAAATAAAGAGATATTTTTTATATTACAAAAATTTGAAGTCAGTAAATGTCATCAACGCAAGGGGGTGCCATGAAAAAGTCTCTTTGCAGCATCAATATAGCATCAATATAATTTGATTCAACAAAATGTTACTTATAGATTAAAATATCATGAACGCAAGTCTTGATTTTCTTTTTAGTAATACGTTAACTTGAAAATATAGGATAGCCTGTAAATATAAACACTAACTCCCTGCAAAATTATTCATCTAAACAAATAAATACTCGCCAAAGCAACTCAAAAAAACATTGAAGTCTAGTGAAATATAATGAAGTCTAGAAAAGCCTACTCTGACAGAAAAGAACTTCCACGGATAAATCTTAACAAGCCACATATTCGAAGGCCCTTTTCTATTAAATTAATAGTCAATTCATGCATTCATTTCAGACAATAAAAGATAACCACCAAGTCAAACTAGTAATTAATTAAAGTACATTGATCTAAAACTTAGAATATCGAAGTAGAATACTGCAGAATAAAAAGGTAGGTTGACCATCTAAAACAAAATGCACAATGCCTGACAAAACATCTTTGATTACTGCCTTGATCTTGACTCAGCCCGTCTAGCTTCATCTGGTGTAGAAGGAAACAGTTCCACATACCTAGATCCAATGGTCATTTTATCCTTGAACATTGCTTTCTTAGCCTCGTCTGGCGAAACAAACTCTACATATGCTTCTCCAGTAGCTTTACCATCTGGGCGACATGCAATGTGCACCCTATCTTCTATCAGTTTGTAATCTTTAAAAAACTCAATAATTTGAGATTTCGTCACGTTGAATGGAAGTCCACGCATCTTTAATATCTCAGTGTATTCCATTTGATCTTTATCACTGAACCGCTTGACCCGAGAAGGAGGAGGGCTTCCTTGGTAATCATTGTCATATATTCCTTCGTAACTGATCTCACCAGCAACAGCATTGTAATAATCTTGCTTCTTACACCTGAAGACTTCCACGTATCTGCGACCCATGTTCTGTCGATCCCTCTGTAAAGCAAACTCAACCTGCATTGCTCCTGCAAAGACTACGAAGGCCTCTCCAGAGAACCGTCCATTCTTGTTGACCAGCAACACATCGACTATGGTCAGTCCAGCAAAGAACTTCAAGATGTCAATGTCTGTGCAGTTAAATGGAAGCCCCCTGAGACGAACCACAGGAAAAGGAGGAAGGGGCTGGAAGCCACCAGCATATCCATAAGGTTGAAAGCTGCCTGCTCCGCTGCTCACTGCGAAGTATGGATTGGATTCCATCATTCTTTGTCTCTTTGAGCCAACCTCGTACCCGTCCGAAACCCCCCCGCTTCCCAACATTGCCCTTCAAATTTCCATACCCAAAAAAAATCCCCCACTCAACATGTTAATAAAACCAAACCCAACCCATGTTTTCCTGATACTTTATTTCAATTTCTAATGTTATAAATTTTATCATATTCATCACAGCTTCAAAACCAAAACAATTCTTTTAAAAAAAAAAGTAAAAGGACAACCACCACCAAAATCAATACAATTTTCTAGCAGCTCAAGTTAACTAGCATAGTAATATCCCTAACATGGATTTAAATTGCAGCCGCAATATTGCTGATGCAGTAGTCTCCACAACCACATTGGACCGGTCCAATTGAGGAGTGATTTGAAATCACGCATTCTTACACATTAGGAACCACATTAGACAACTTCGCCCAAGTTTCTTCAAGTATTTTTGTCAAAACTTAAAATATAGAATCCCAAAACTCAATTTACTTATAAAAATTTCTTAACAAGTGTTTTTTAACTGTATATTTCAAAATCTTTTCAATGAAAATTCATGATGCAACAGCAGCAAGCTTATCCGCGACTGCAATTTAAAACCATGATCCCTAACACTGGACTGGCAAAGCTCGGAAGGTTAATTAATTAAAGAAAACTACAAAAAAGCAACACAGGCAAAACGCAAGAAAGTTATAATAAATTCCATAGTTTCAAGGTTGAAAGAAATTTATACATTCGCATATGAAGACAATTGTGACAATATTGTAGCTAAACACCCTAATCACATGGTTGAAAGAAAACCAAACAAGCTGAATTTGCCAACAAATTTTCCACATATGTACCAATGAATAAAAAGAGTAAAACCCTTGTATCATATGCACCAATAAATCAAATCTCAAAGCTTAATTCATAAACTAAATATGAATTACAAAAAAAAAAAACTCATTCATAAAAAGTGATAATCACAAACCAAAAATTCTAAAAAAATCTCCAATTTCAATACCCAATCACGAATACGATTCCTAATCCACATAAATCAAACCCCAAAAAGAAAATTCAAAAGAAAAAAAGAAAAAATAAAGAGAAAGATGAAGTTTAGGCGACTTACCCCCGCGGTCCGTACATGTTTCCACGATCGCTGAAGGATCGGGAAAAGGGGGACTCGACTGACGGAGGAAAACGATACGGATCCAGCGGTGCGATTGAGAGAACGAAACCTTTTTGAATTGAAAGTCGAAGTTTGAGGAAAAAACCCTAACTAGGGTTGCACGCGTTCGACAAGTTTCTTCAAACAATGAAACACCGAAGGCTTTCAAGTTTTGAGAGTTATTTATTAATTATTTTTTTTTCCTTTTTTTCATTATTTATATATATTGGGTAAATTCGTAATTATCATTATTTTTCTTTTTTATGTTTTTATCGTCAATATTCGGTCCACAAGATCGATTAATCTGATTCAAAGATCATGGTTAGAGTTATTAAAATGGATTAGTTCGTATGGACCGATTTACTGGGTCTGAAAAATCATTGGAGTTGTGCTTTAAAATTATAGCTCAAAGTTTTTTAAGCTCATCTCTAAAAAAGTCCGTTATCCATTAGTGTTAGCTTGTATAGGTTGTGGGTAGTTTATTAGACTCGTATAACTATAAATTTTTTTAAAATTATATTAATATTTATGCTTAATACTTCTTTTGGTCCCTTAAAAATTCCGCTATCGATTACAAAATGTGAGGAATATGTTAAAGGTTGTTTTATTTTGTTTTCCTATTTTGTCGTGACAATAATTGTGCTATCGATATTTTGTTTTTCTGCATTTTTCGCCTTCATAAAAGTAAGATAAGCATAAAGCTAAAATTCAAAGCATATAAATGAGATTAATTTTGAATCTTAAAATATTTATTTCGTTTTGATTGATTGGAAGAAATTGTGGTTTTTTTACTGATAGATAACCTTAATTTGATTAAAGGTGATTCATTTTTTTTTGTAGTTTTTTTATTGGTATATTGTTTATGTTGTGTGCTGGTTGATGGGTTGGATATAAAGAGTCATTTGTTGTACAGATGTTCATGTGGATGATGTTTGAATATTGTTTCTTGATAACACTAAAACACACTGCGTATTTGGCTCGGATTGCACATGTTTATTGTTGTTTAATTGTTATTTTCTTGCATTATGCTTGTGTTTTTTATCTTGTTTTCAGGTACATTGCCAAATAAGAGCTTTTCACGAAGAAATGGAATGAAAAAAAAAAACAGAAAATAGAGTTTTTGGTGAAAATTACACATACGGCGTTCCACATGGCGTTGGCCATGGGGGTAGCCATGACGTGTAGGGTTTCTCCCACGTTCTAACCATCACTTGACCATGTCCCCAACCTTTTGTACACATTGTGGACGCCATGTCTAGATGGTGGGCGTCATCCTTGTATTAGATGGTCCGGTCAAGGACGGTTGGAGCATGATGTCATAACCAGAGATATTTCCTCCACACGGCTTCTGGAGGAGCTACATAACTTCCAAGACATTATTGCACTATAAATAGGACTTAGATCTTTAGTTTTAAATCATTCAGTCTTAGTTCTCAGCATAGGAATACATTTAGCTGTTAAAGCGATAAGTCGTCACATCGAGGGGTTACCGCACCATTGTTGTAACTGAGGTTGGAGCATCGTAGCATAGGAACTTTAAGCTTGTCGTCATTTTACTTTCAAGTCAGATTTACTTTCCAGCATTGTACCAGATTCAAGTCTCCGATTTGGAGCAAGTTTTGTTTTACTCGCACTTTTATTATTTACTTTCTGCTTTGCTTTAATTTGTTTAATTTTCGCACGATTTATTTATCACTTTTTATTTTAGAGATCTGTTTCTAAGAGTTAACTTAAGAGTGACACCTTGGTTCTTACCTTTGGAAACCGATCACGCATTTACTTTTTGCACGATTTATTTATCGCTTTTTATTTCAGAGATTCTCTAAGAGTGAACTAAAGCGTGACACTTTTGTTCTTACTTTTGGGAATCGATCACGCTTTTATTTTTCTGCACGATTTATTTATTGTTTTTTATTTCAGAGATTCATTTTCTAAGAGTGAACTCAAGCGTGACACTTTTTTTCTTCTGAAAACCAATCACGCATTTATTTTCCCGCATGATTTACATATCTCTTTTATTTCCAAGATTCATTTTTTGAACTGAACCTAAGAGTGACACTTCCGTTCGTTTGAAGACCAACCACACACATTTTATTTCCCTAAATGATTTATTCTACAAGCAAATTATTTATTATGTCTAGCACCGTCATATCCAGCTAAATTTGTTGTGCTGGGATGTGAGGACCGTCGTTTTGATGGTACTCCATATTTTGTATTTGTAGAAACACTTTAGGGTCTGTTTTGGATTTTAATGCAAATTTTCTGAACTTAAATTGATCGGCCATTACGTGAACGGGACCGCGCTTCTATTTACGTAATAACCGTGACTACGTCGGGTAAGATCGAAAGTCGTCCGACACTTTAGATAAGAGTTGGTTAGTTTTTAATTGGTAAAAACAGCAAAAGCGCTTTATTAATTAATTAGGAAAGTTTGGTATTATTAGAAAGTGATTTTAAAACTATTTTCGGACGCGTTTATAGATTTAGGATCCGGTTAGCCGAGCATATGCTGGAAACCCTTTGATATTGAAAGTTTTCAATCAAAGACACTTTTTAACCGAGTCTTAGAGGTAGTTATATAAAAAAAAAGACTTCTTCACTTTAACGCAAGATGCGACCGGCGCAGCGTGAACGACTCGTATAGATTAAAGGTCATGTCCAGTTCTGATTACGCTAACGCGACAGTTCTTTTTCAAGGAAGAAAATATTGCCCCATAAGTATTACTACTTAGACAATAGGAGTATTATCTGATCGATGAGAATTACATTCCAGTGTGCCTTTATTCTAAATTTTAATTCATTCCTTAACTATTATTATTTTTTCTCTGTGCGCAATACTCTTTGAAATTTTGCTTGCGCATAGACTGATGTTATAACTGATGTTATGAAATCAACAATAACATAGGCCACTTAACAGATAACTTGCAGTAATTTAAAACAGTAAAGAACACACAACAATTGATTACCCAGTTCAGTGTCAACAACACTTACATCTGAGGGCTACCAAGCCAGGGAGGAAATTCACTATTAGCAGTATCAATTTAGAGTTAAACCTCTATTTTACACTCCTCACTTAATCACTACCCAATGACACTTCAGCCTAGAGACTCTATAGTACCTGAGTATACCCACTCACTCCCCCACTATCACACACCTGTGATATCAGTTACAATTGCAAAAATAGTTTTGAAGAGACACTCCAAAACGCACACCTTGATCTTGCTTCACAGCTTTGATCAAGAATACATCACTCTTGCTTCACAACTTTGAGTGTTACACCAGCCTAGAAACTACCTAATCAAGACAATTATGCAGAAGCTAATTTATTGAATTACAAGTGTTCCTAAGACACAATCGTGAAGAACAACCTCTTCACTTCTAAACCACTATGGTGATTTCTTTGTTTCTCTATGTTGAACAGCTGCCTTCTAGGATTGCTTCTCCTATTATTTATAGTAGCAGATCAGTCCTTGGGCCTGGGCGCACAATCTAGGTTTTTCATCACAAAACCTCTCCTTTGATTGTCTGTCCACGTGCCAATTTATTCAGGGACGTTTTAGTTTGCTTAGGGCTTCTAAAACGTTTCCTTAATCCTAGTTTGAGTTTCTGATTTGTTTCCTAAGTTCTAGCTACCAGAATAACAAACCTGCGCTTGATGTCATACGACCTATGTCATAACATTGAGTATGACATCCAGCTTAACTTATTGTTAGCTTAGTTAACTTACCCTGCACAATCCATATTATGAATGTATCAACATCAGACATGACATTCATACATACACTAATGTTTTGCCACAAAATGAAGCCAATCAAGAGCACTTACAAACTCCCCCTTTGGCAAATTTTTGGCTAAAACACTTTGTACTTACACTGGAGATTTACACACAGCAGAAGACTTAACATAGGTCCTGACATGCAGGAAAGTCACTAGCTGCTCAAGCTCTCAGGGTCCTCACAGTTGGCTTTCAGCCCTGTTAAGCTTACCCTGTTGACCATCTGACAGTTCTCACTACAGATGTCACTCCCCCTCAACTGATGCATCTCATCAGCTAATCATTGTGCCTGCATACCTTTCAGTTTTATAGACATCCAGTCTGATCTGGATGTCATGACATCCAGGATAGCATCCTGAAGCCACACAAATTACTAAACCTAACACTCTGACCTGTTAGCTTAGACTTCAGCAGTCTCACTTGCTTGTGGACTAACTAGTGCTCCTCCCCCTGCAGGGATGCACCACACTTATAATCTGCTCACCTTGCAGATACACACACAATGTACTTGCACCTTGCAGATACACACACTAGCATACATTCCAGCATCAGCTGCCATCATCTGTAGAACCTGTGGTTACCACCCTGCATTTAAGATTTGACATGAGCTAACATCCTCAAGCATTCAAATCCACATGTTCTTCCACCTGCTTATTACAATCACATATGCACTCAACACTCTTTCTCTCCCCCTTTTTAGCCACAAATTAAAATCCAACTAACCATAGTATAGATTAAAATATTGTTAGGGACAACACATTTGTTCAGATATTCTTACATATGGTCACAACTCACACACACAACACCCTTAGCTCAGCAGTTCATCAACTTGAGCCATACACCCTATTCTTCCTCCTCTTCAGCATAGCTCGTCATGTCTTCTGAAGTACCTGCTTCCTCGGACCCATCTTTACTTGTTGCCTCACTTGCAGCACTGGTTTCTTCAGAGTTCTCCGCAGCTTTTTCTGCTTCCTGAACTTCATCATCTAATTCATCACTATTCTTGTTTTCATCAGCATATTCTGACCCCTCTTCTTGCTCCAGAGTTCTGATTAATTTTTCCAGTTTTAACTTCCTTGTCTCCAACTCCTTGCAGGTGTCTTTGAGCATTTCTATTACCTCAATTTTGCTAGTTGTTGAGGTCCTTTTGGAAGTCTCAGCTGAAGGTACAGCAATGTCAGGAACATGAGTTCCTTTAAACAA